AGTTTCTCGGATCCCTTCATAAGGCACCTCACTCACCTCCAATGCAGTCTTTTAAAAAAACCACTTGTGTCCATTCACCCCCTCTAAAACAATCACAAAGCCTGTTGGATGAAAAGCCCCTAAAACTCGAACACTCTTTTATCTTCCCTCTAATGTTTCTGGGAGAACCTCTACCATCCTCCCTTTCCCCCCAGTTTATTATCCTCTTTGTCATCCGTCTCTTTCATCCTCTTGCATCCCTATAGCACCTTCTAATTTCTCCCTTTTAAAATATTCTGTATGGCATTACGCAACACAACTTTCAATATGCAATTTCTGCTCCCCTTCGCTCCTTACTGCAGCATTCAAAATCATCCCACACACTCAAAATTAAATTTTGTTCACTATAGTTGGTCACCCTGTTTTTCCCTTTATTAAAAAATTTTTTTCCACAGAGTTTAAATACTCCGTCCATGGTTTTCCCCTTCCATCTTTTCTAAAATTCCCCTGGTTTTTCAAAGCCCTATCTGTGAATGTCCACTCCCTGTGATTTTCTATTTTTCTTTACCTAGATAGTTTTGTTACCCTCATCGGGGCCCTACCCGAACTCCAGTGAGGGCCAAAATTTGCAAGTACTGCTGCAACAACAGAAAGGGAACCATATGAATAAAAACGAGGGTGAGACAAGAAATGGAAAAATATGAAAAAAGGGGGGCCCGGCATTCGTCCGATGCTGCCGACTGAACCAGACATGAGACTTTTTCCAAATTACAATGAAAAACTGACCCCAATCAACTGCCCCAGTGTTTAACGGGAAGACAACTGGCAAAAACCCTGATCAAAAAAAATCCCCAAAGGAAATGAAGGTTGTGGATTTTTTTTTCTTCAGTGCCAAAGGGGGAAAGAATTGAGATTTAAAAATGGTGCCGGCATCCAAACCCCCGCCTCCCCAGACGTAAATAGCAAAGTGAAATTCTCATCTTTATGACGTTCATCTGTTGACAGTAGCATAATCTGTCCACCTCATATACCTGTACAGTGCTAACGAGGGGAAAAACCAGGAGACTCGTCAAATAAAACAGACAAAACTCCAAGGTTATAGGTCGGATACCCCTCGTGGTCGTGAGAAAGAAGTAATATTTAAAACAGTAAAGGTTAATGTTTTAGTAGTGCCTATTTCGGCGACCGTGTACAGTGAAGAATTATAGCAGAAAACGCAAATATATCTAAAAATCAAGGAAAGTCGGGTTTGGGGGTGGCTTTTATCCCCTCGGGTTTTTTAAAAATGGCTGAGTAGCAAAACAGGTAGGCAGAACAACACACAAAACCCCCCGATAAATGGAATGGGGGGGGTTTTTAAAGGGAAAATAAAAAGGGTTAAACCTTTCTGATCTCCCAGAATGGAAGGGGGGTTTAGAATTTAAATTTGGGGAAAGCCGGGACTGTGAAGTGAGAGGGGGAAGGGGGAGGGGGGAAAAAAGGGGGTTAAACTGTAGAATTTTGTAAAGTTAAGGGAAAAGTGAGAGTGAAGAGGGTATTGAAGAGGAAATTTTACTAGTAATTCAGTGGTGATTGTAAAGGGGATACTAATGTATAGGGACTGGAAAAGGAAAAAATATTATTGTTATGAGTAAAAAGGGAAAAAGTGAAAATGGAGGCATTAGGGGGGTACAGGCTGCCATAATTATATTTATATTTCTTCTTAAAATTCCTGAAGAAAGAATTCAGTATGGGGGGAAAAAAGGTGAATGGAGTAACAGCCCCCTGGACGTAAAAGCCCAACGTTGCCCCCCTACCAGAAAAGTAAATTCACTATCGCCGCAAGGTATGGCAACCCCGCTACCCAAAACAAAAACAGTGGCCAAGCTCTTATTTGTAGCGCTCTTAAGGGGTGATACCCAAAATTTAATCCGGGGGGGCCCTCAAACTATTGTGCAGAGGAAAAACAGACAGATAAATGCGGCAAAATGACGGTCAGTGCTAGGAATGTAACCCAACTCATATGTAAAGCATACTGGTCAAGGGACAATCAGCCATTTTTATTTTAAACACTACCCAAAAAAAAGGGATACATGTATAAGTCGCAGAAAAAAAAGAAAAGGCACCTTTTGTAAAAAGTGTAAGGGGTGGGTGATGTGGATGTATGACAATTATAGCACGGGGCGAATTCTTTTTTTGTGTAACAAATGCCTTTTTGGCACAGTTACCCCTTTTGCAGTGATGACATTGATTTACCTAATTTTTTTACAAAAGACCCTTTTCCATATATTTTGTTATGATTGTTTTATGAAACGGCCTTCACTTTATTATGTCAAAGCAAGATCACTTCTTCCCCAAATTTGGGGAGATTAGGTTCTGCTAACAAAAAATTAGGGCGGCAGTTATAACCATCTCTGAATCTTTGGGTTTGGTTATACGGTGATGACGACGAGGCAAAAATAGGGTTACAATATAAAACGCTTGATAGGAACAGAAAAGGGGGGTGGAGTATTTTGCCCAATTTGAAATGACTTAGCTTAACCAAGACCTGTTTAAATAACAAAAATGGAGATTCTATGGTTTGAAGTGCTGCTTCCCAAGACCAAACCCCTCTTAGTAGGAACTGTTACCGCCCTCCTACCCCCGGGCCCGTTCTTAGAAAACTTTTCCAGAGTTTGTCTGGGGGTTGAAAAAAAATTGCGAGACAATAATACTGGGGACTTCAATATCTGTTTTCCCCCGCTTTAAAGGGCTTGCAAAAGGTTAAGCAAATTCTAGGGTTAAATAGTTAACTCAATAATTAATACTCCAACCCAGATCAACGTTCTCAGCCCCCCTAATTTACCAATACTTTGTAACCCCTCTGAGAACATTAGTCGTCGGCATCATTACCACGGGCTTTGTGATTCATTTCATATTTTCTGCACCCGGAAAAATCACTAGGGTAGGATAGGCCCAAAACAGGACAATAAAAATGAGGTCAACTAGAAAAATAAGTAAAAAAACACTGGTAAATGGCTACACAAAGTGACTGGACAGAGTTTTCAAGTTGCCGGCGTAAAAGTCCTGGGAAAAATTCAAAAAAATGTTCACACCTCCTGATAATTTGCACCAGTTAAGAGGTTAGGTTTTAAAAGAAGAAATGAAAACCGGAGAATACTGAGATATTAGTAATATGAAATTTAGGACCAGTGCTAAAAAGATTTAAGAAACAGACGGTATTGCAGCACTAAATGAATTCCAAAGGGTGGGAACGAGTACAGAGATTTTAAAAAGGAGCAAAAGGGAAAGCATTTCTGCTAAAAATTTAAGAGATAAAAATAACCCCCGAAAGCCCGGCAAAAACTAAAACAGTTTGGGGGATAGCCATAAGCGTAGTAGGCTAACATAGTATACTATCGATAATGAGGTATGCCACGAAACATCTAGGTGGGAAATTGCTTTATTTCATACTACACATTTTTGCATAAACTAGTAAGTAAACTACCCGTGCTCAAAAAACCTTTAAAAGGGCTTGATAAGTTTCAAACATACTATACCAATAAAGGGGGGACCCCCAAAAAGTTGTCAACTGTAAGTGTTCTCATACTTTATTCAAAAGAAATAAACAGGTTAAAAAAAAAATAAAAAGACAGGCCCCGTAACATCCTGTCTAATTTTTAAAAAAGGTGCTTTGAACTGTCAATCCCTATTGCTACATATAAATTATCAAACACACTTTTAAACCCTACGGAGGGGGTTCAAGGAGGCCAGAGTTACCCTATTTCAAGAAAAATAGTAGGTCTGATGTAAGCAATATGGCCCGTTTGTATACCAGTTTTTATCTAAAATTCTAAGAGGGGGGTTTTATTCTCAAGTAGTTAAGTACCCTTAAAGACAACAACATTCTCCATGCATCAATCGGGCTTAGAAGATCCTATCAACCCACACCCCCTTATTAATTGATGGATTACCTGAGAACTGAAAAAGTCAAAGGGGGAACCTCATTAGGTATGGGAACTTAGACCTGCAAAGGCCTTCGTACTGTCAACCTCAATTTTTTTATTAAAAATTAAGCTACGGGTTGGTTCTGTTGACTGGTTTTTGTCCTACCCTTTGCAAAAGGAGACAAATAGTCAAAAACAACAAAACAGAAAAGAACCCCCGCCGATAACATGTGGATTGCCCAGGTAGTTTTGGGTCCCCTTTTTATTTTTATGTTATGTCAATGATTGCCCTTTGTGTCAAGTGCAAACTCCTACTGTATGCAGATGACATTTCTTGTTAGTGTCAGGTAAAGGGGGCCCCCAGATATTGCTAATGTTTTAACACTGAATGGAGTCCTGCAGCAAAAGGTTGTAGAAACAAACTTCTTACACCCAGGGAAAACTGAAGCCTTCTCTTTGGCACGAAACTAAATGAGAAGGGTAAATAATTTTAAGTTCAATGTAAAGGGGGGCCCCTCACTTTGGTTTATCAGTAAAATATTTGGGGAAACCCCCTTTTACCCCTGATGTCGGGGAATTGATAGGGAACGTGTAGTAAGAAAACAAATGCCGACGAAGTTCCTGTATAGACAACACAGTGTTACCTACTGGGCTCGCGGACCCTTTTCTAGCCCCCTTTCAATCCATATGGATTACACTGCTCTTCTTGGTACTCTGCCTTGACAAAAAAACGAAAGATAGACTGCAAATCACCCAGAACAAATCGTAAAATTCATCCTGGGGCTGGGGCCAAAAAAAAACATGTAGGGCCCGGATGAATTAAGCAGTTGGTTGCTGAATGTTGAAGAAGAGTAAAACAAATTTAGTAAAACATGGTTATAAAAATTTCTCACAAAAGTTCCGAAATCTGCTGAATTTTGTCAAAGGTTGGGAACCAAAGCAATATAGTACTAGGGGGGAGGCCAACTTTGTAGTACCCACGTCAGGGGCGGCTTCAAACACTTTTTTTGTACAGCAAAAAAGGAATGGAAAAGACTGCCTGCACATGTCAAAACCAGTCTACATGAAAGTTCAGAAGAGTGCCAAAAGGTTCTGCCCCTCCTGCTGCCCCTACACCTCGCCCTGACATCATGGCTCTCCTATACTTCTTTAGCTATCGCATTCATCACACAGTTGCCTTTTCATGTGCACTCAGTAGCGTTGAGTTCATCAAGTACAGTACGGTGTTCTTGATGCTGGATAACTTTAAAACAATGTGATGGGGTCATCTTCAGGATGTTGTTGTTGAAGGTTCATAGGGCCATCACAACTTGCGCAGTATTTTTTATTTTTCTTTGTTGGGTTCATCAGGGCCACTGACGGCTTATGCTGTATCAAGCCCGACTTCCCGATGTACGGGGAAGATTTGTTGCCCAAAGCTGGGCGATGAAAGAAAAACGAACAAGACTTCCTTTCTAAATAGAAACAGGAGCTAGAAGTTCCCAGTTAGATCAAGTGGACCCCCTTGCCAAGCCCAGCAGAGCTAGACGCTCACACCCTACCTAATGGAAATAAATGGTATAAAATACCGACACAATGGATATATATAAACACTTAAGCAATATAATGTGATCCTTTACCGGCAACGTTTCGCCCATGCAGTGGGCTTTATCAAGTCACAAACAGATCTACTTGGTGAAAGATGCGTAAGTATGTATAGGATGGAGTCAGGTGGAGAATGCTGGTCCAGGTGGAGAATGATGTATGTGACAGTCTTCCGAGAAGGGTGATAAAGTCTAGAACCTTTGGTAGCTTTAAAAAGAGATTGGATAAGTATATGAGTAGACCTTATGCAGTGTTCCTCCATTCTTATGTTCTTATGTGGGATAACAATGAAGAAGTTTTTTGGCAAGGGGTTCAGCTATGTTATAGAAGCCGTTGTTCTGGTTAAAGTTGTTGGATATACAGATAAGTGGTGATTCCAGGATTCTTCGGTATTGAGTGTTGTCTTCTCTGGCAATAGTCTTGCGTTTCTGTAGTTGATTAATTCAGCTTCAATAACAAGAACATAAAGTGGGACCAAGTAAACCAAGTTCTAAACGATATAAGCTGGGAAGATAGACTAAGCAACACAGACCCCAACTTATGCCTAGAACAGATTAACTCTGTGGCACTCGATGTATGCTCATGGCATATTTCCTTTAGGAAAAAGGAGGAGTAGATGTAAAATAGAAAGAGACAGGCGCTCCCTTTACAGGCGACGGAAAAGAATAACAGAGCGGCTTAAAGAGGCCAATATATCTGCAATGCGTAGGGAGACACTGGTCAGAGAAATAGCAAACATCGAACTAAAGATAAAGGAATCTTATAGGAGTCAGGAATCGCGTGAAGAACTAAAAGCCATAAATGAAATCGAAAGAAACCCAAAGTATTTCTTTTCTTATGCCAAATCAAAGTCGAGAACAACATACAGTATTGGGTCCCTACTTAAACAAGATGGGTCCTACACAGATGACAGCAAGGAAATGAGTGAGCTACTCAAGTCCCAATATGACTCAGTTTTTAGCAGACCGGTAACCAGACTGAGAGTCGAAGATCTAAATGAATTTTTTATGAGAGAGCCACAGAATTTGATAAACACAAGCCTATCTGATGTTATCCTGACGCCAAATGACTTCGAACAGGCGATAAATGACATGCCCATGCACTCTGCCCCAGGACCAGACTCATGGAACTCCGTGTTCATCAAGAACTGCAAGAAGCCCCTATCACGTGCTTTTAACATCCTATGGAGAAGTAGCATCGACACTTGGATCGTCCCACAGTTACTAAAAACAACAGACATAGCCCCACTCCACAAAGGGGACAGTAAAGCTATGGCAAAGAACTACAGACCGATAGCACTAACATCCCATATCATAAAAATCTTTGAAAAGGTCCTAAGAAGCAAGATCGCCACCCATTTAGATACCCATCAATTACACAACCCAGGGCAACATGAGTTTAGAGCAGGTCGCTCCTGCCTGTCCCAGCTACTGGATCACTACGACAAGGTCCTAGATGCACTAGAAGACAAAAAGAATGCAGATGTAATATACACAGACTTTGCAAAAGCCTTCGACAAGTGTGACCATGGCGTAATAGTGCACAAAATACGTGCTAAAGGAATAACAGGAAAAGTTGGTAGTAGTCAACAGAGTAAAGTCTGAGGCGGGTACGGTGAAAAGCTCTGTTCCGCAAGGCACAGTACTCGCTCCCAACTTGTTTCTCATCCTCATATCTGACATAGACAAGGATGTCAGCCACAGCACCGTGTGGACATTAAAATGGTATAAAATACCGACAGGTTGTTAGGTAAGACACATGCAACAGTTAGGTATTGTGGAATATTGCATTTACTGAATGTATCATTATGTACATAACAGTAATAAAACAAAGATAATTATTATTTATCAGTTAGAAAAGGGGGAATTTGGGAGCAGGTCGAAAAAAAAGTCCCCTTCGATCCCTCCACGTCTTTTCCACAAGTTGCTCTGGCCCTATTAATTAAAAATGAAATATACATCACCAGGAATGGGAAAAATTTAAATTTGTGGCTGTTTTTAAAATTTAAAAAAAATTTATATATAAATCCACACACAAACAGGGGGAGAATATCTTAATATCATAACACTACCAATTTGACTGGGATTAATGTGTTATTCTCAGAAAACCTCTGTCTATACATAAAAAAAAAACAACTGGCCAGAGTTAAAACATAACGGGGACTTATCTGGGGTTTCCCGGGAGTTGTTTTTTTTTCAGCCCCTGATATCTCAGTTATGAGGAATGCTCATCCAAACAATTTCGCCTCCTATTTGGGAAAGGTGTCAGCCCTTTTAAACCTCTAGAGCACGAAAAATTTTCCCATAATAACGTTGTATCCAATTAAAAAAACCAAAATGGCGACTTTCTCTTTTTTTTTTCGATAAAAAATTTTTTTAAAATCAATATAGGGCATTTTTTACCAAAAAATTCCCGTATTTCCGGAAAATTATACAGTTTTTTCCCACGGGTTTTTTTATTTCGAAACATTTCGCCTACAGTGGCTTCCGTCGAGTACAGAAAAGTGATAAAGCAAAAGAGACTTGAAGACGTTTAAATCAGTCCATCCCCCTTTGAAGTTTTAAGGTGGTCGCCCCTCATTTGGAGAAAGAGTATTGTTAAAAGTCGAAAAAATATGGGTTGAAGTGACAGGATGGGCCTTATATACCGCCAGGAGGTGAGATGTGGCCACTAGTAGAGGTAAGAATGTAGTCGCTGGGAGGTCAGGTCCCCCCAAAACCCAGCTATTTCACTAGTAGAAGTTGTCCAATTTGATTTCAGTTCTGTCCAAAAACCCCTTGTGTTGCAGTGTCTGAAAAGGTGAACATTAAAAGGGTTATAAAATACCGACAGGTTGTTAGGAAAGACAACTATGAAACGTTGGTATCTTTATTTCGAAACGTTTCGCTGCACAGTAGGCTTTTCAGAGTATAAAACAAATCCTAGCCCACAATAGAGCGAGAAACTAACGAAAAAGACCTAGAGTGATAAGTCGGAGGATCCCCTTAAGGATCAAAACTTGTATCAATCGCATTGCTAGAAAAATGACAGGATGGATAATGAGAACCTTAAAACTAGGGTCCCAAGCCCATGATGACACCTTCAGGTCGTTGTTCTATCAAAGCTGGAATATTCTGCACACTAACAGACCTTTCAAGGCAGGTGAAAATTGTGACCTAGAAAATGTACAGGAACCTTCCGGCACGATAACGGAGATAAAAAACCTCAATTCTGGGAGCGCTTTAATTCCGAACTGTACTCCCCGGGGAAAGCAGGCGGGGAGATGCAGATTAATACACTGGAAAATCCAGAGGGACTAGTCCAAACTTGCACACGACTCATTTACGAAAGCAAAAGATGGAGACGATTTCAACATCCCCCAAAGAAAAGCAGGGGTTTTCACTAGCACGTTAAGAGACAAAACTAAGTGTCAGGGGCCAAGCTGTTCAACTGCCTCCCAGCATACATAAGGGGGATTACAATGACCCCCGGCATCTTCAAGCAGGCACTGGCAAGCACCCGAAGTCGGACCTGACCCGCCGGGCTGCGGTCGTACATTGGATTTATGCAGCGCAGTAACAGCCTGGTTGATCAGGCCTGATACCATGAGGCCTGGTCAAGGGGAAGGGCCGGGGGCATTGCCCCCCAAACCTTCTCTAAGTATACTCCGGGCCAATTGATGCCTCGAAGCAGTCAATGCAGGGTTTACATAATCCCCTGGGAGGCTGTTAAAAGGTTACGCGGTGAAAAAGCACGAAGCTTGGAAACATATCTCAATGATCACATTAGTGCATGCAGGAACGATAACTTGAACGTATATGTACAACGACCCGTTATGTACCCCTGTAAACTTTTGACTACCCCCCCCACAGGAAGGGTTATGGGGTGCTAATAAACATTAAACTAACTAACTACGTACAACACCCAATTTCTGCAGACGAAAATGCCTTGAATCATCCTTAATCGCCATTTCAAAAACTATTAAACAGAATAAAGGCATCTTCGTCATCTTTGAAGTATCAGCAAGAGTTCTTAAAGCAATTAACCCCACCAAGGGCATGGGCCAGTTAGCCTGCTCAATGCTTATGCCTTTTCACCTCATTATTACCCTTATATACTCTGTCCTTGTACTGTTTGTAACCTAAGTATACCTGGAGGATGTTCTGGGGGTCAACGCCCCCGCGGCCCAGTCCATGACCAGGCCTCGTAATGGTAAGGTCCTGACAACCAGGCTGTTTATGCTGGGGCGCACGCAAACCCACGTAAGAACCAACTCGGCTTTTTTTGGTACTACTTTATGTGCCTGTCTGCTCCTTCTTGAAGAGGCAGGGGTTTTTTGGTAATCCCCCTTTTTGTAAGCTGGGAGGCGTTTTAAAAAATTTGGCCCCTGATACTTTTTTTCTTGTTTTGAGTATACTCATGGCCCCCTGCTTTATTGAGGAGATGTTGCACAATCTGTCATTTTTTTTTTTTTTTGCTTTCGTAGAGGTGTATTGCTTTTGTCACTCCCATACACTATCCCACTACCACTAGTGAAATCAAAATGGTCCTACTAGTATTGCCCCTCACTTGTTAAACCCCTTGGGAGCAAAAACGTTGCCACAAAATGTCACATTGTTGCACTTGTGTCCTTTTACTTTACATATTGTGGTAATTTCCCAATTTATTACATTCTTTCTGTTGCTTTACTGCCCCCTTTGTGGGTGGGGCTATGTCTGTTTTTTTTAGAAAACTGTGGGCGCCCGTGTCCATGCTCCCCCCCCCTAGGATGG